TAGTGTCATTAAAAAACAGTTTTAAAAAAATGGACAAAAAAAATAGAAAATGCACCTTTCTAAACATAGTTTATACATTCACTTATTCAAATTAGACATATTCAGAGAGAATTTAGTTTTTTTCAATATATATATATTCATATATTTCTAGGTTTTTTTGTTGTTTTTTTAAAAAGTATTTCATCCAAAGATGAGCAATGTAGAACACCCCTAACTGTAAAATTGACAACATAGGACAGTTATATGCCTTAAATGTCACCTGAATGCAAAATTTAAACAAAATTTACCGTGTAGTTTATGAGTTATGGACATTTTTCTAATTAAACTAAAACTTTGCAATCTTTTTTTTTTTAGAAATGAGGAAACTCTAAATAATCTATAATATCATCATTATGAAAAATGTTGTCCTATTGCTCATTGTTAAGAAGCAAATAATGAAATTTAGGTAACAAATAAAACAAGCAAAATGATTGTTTTTAAACGAAATGTTTTTAATATGTTTAAAAATGTTACCCTACCCCAACCATTGTTAGCACGTATTTGACCATTTCACTATGTTAAAATATCCCTAAACTTTTCCACAATGGGGGCTGTTTTTAAAGTTTGCCTAAATTTTCTTAAATTTATATTGGTTGGTCTTGCAAAATATAAAATACTTTTACAGTGTAGTTTTTATTTTATTAAACTTTGAAAATATCTGGTATCATATTTGCTATTACATATGGCATTCTTTAGTAAATAAATACCAATAATAATTTTATAATTAAAATGAAACACTTTTTTCTGAGAGATTAATAAAAAATATTAAAAAGAAAAAAGAAAAGAAAAAAAGTTACCTCTTCTGGGATTTGAACCCACGCCCCTCAGTTTCAAAACACTTTACAGTGATTCTAGCCCATTTGAATACTCTTCACCGTTGAGTGCATTAGGGGTGTACTACCTTAAAATTCATTAAAATACATGATGTAATTACCTACAAAAGCGTATATCTGTCAACGTAAAAGAAAGCTTTCTTTTTAGATAAAAAAATAGTAATCCCATTTTTATAAAAACTGTTAAATGTTTTAAAAAATTTAATTTTAAAAAATTTTTTAAATTTTTGATACTATATTTTAAAAAAGTTATTTTGAAAAAGGCTATAAACTATAAAGACATGATGTATATCCGGCCTGGCTCTTTCAAACAGAACTTAAATAGACATTTTCTTCTTCTTTTTTACACGAAGATCTATCAGAGCGTTCTCCTTTATCATTCCAATAGGATTTGATAAGCCAATCAACCAATGTTCCGTTATTAACAGGCATTTGATGAAATCTTCATCCACAGAAGTCAGATGGTATTGCGAGGATGAGTCCTTGTGTAAACAATTTCTCAGCTAGTTTGCTTCAATGTTCAGTATTTTTACTAGATAATTGACATTCTGTGGCAGTTTCTGATCAATCAAATTTTTATGAGTGTAGATTAAGCTTTGTGAAATTGTTTATTATCCAAGATCCTGGGCTTATAAACACATTTGAAAATACAAGATAAGGTCATTGAAATGCTCTACACTGAAATTACAATTTACCCACATCAAAATTCCTCGAATTTAAACAAGCTTACGGGCAAATGATGAAAGCTGTATTTACATAAATGTTTAACTCAGGTAGGTCGATTGAAAAACGATTGGATTGTTTACATTTTGTGTTCTTTAAGCAGTACAACTCCCCTAAAGTGACTATTTGTAAAAGAATCTGAAAAAAATATCATCCCTCGGAAGCATTGATCACAACAAAAATTGCAGACTCGGTTTGACTGAGTCTGGTCAGAGTGATAAAGAAAAAGTGCAACATTCCTCATGTCCCCCTAGTACTGGCTTCAGAGGTATTCAATTTTCAACACTGAAAGTGCTGCAAAGATTGTTACTGTCGTAAAAAAGAGCATAAGTACCAGGTGTCTGTTTTTATCAACTCAAAATTTCGAATGACTAACTAGAAACTTCAAGCTACTTATCTCGAAAAGTTGAATTATTAACTCAAAATTTCGACTAACTTACTCGAAATTTCGACTCACTAATTCGAAATTTCGACTAAATAACTCGAAATGATGACTTTCTTACTCGAAATTGCGACTTAGTCCTTGAAATTTCGACTCATTAATTTGAAATTTCGACTAAATAACTCGAAATGATGACTTTCTTACTCGAAATTGCGACCTACGTCCTCGAAATTTTGACTTATTTACTCAAAATTTTGACTAATTAACTCAACATTTCGACTTACTTACTCGAAATTTTGAGTTTCTCAATTCGCATCTTTTCAATGATTTATTTCGATGATTAGAGAAGCAAGGCATTTCAGTATTATTGGTAAACCGAGATTGAAATAGCTTTTACTCATACGCTCCCGTTTCTCAATCTCCATCGTACAATTGCACTCCTTGCTACATCTTATATTATCTTACGCTTGGTAACTCATAACCTTTTTTGGCCGTTCTAGTAATGTAACTTAGTCGAAATTTCGAGTAACTTTGTCGACATTTTGAGTAAATTAGTCGAAATGTCGAGTAAGTAAGTCGAAATTTCGAGTTACTTAGTTAACATTTTGAGTATGCAAGTCGAAATTTCGAGTTATGTAACTCAAAATTCCAAATTTGTAAGTCGAAATTTCGAGTTAATGTCATAGGGTAGTAAGCATTAATAAATAAAATATCAATAAATACTGGTTGTTGTTTTCAATCTTTAATCCTTAAGCACAAATTTGGTCTCGTATTTAGTCAAACATATTTCCCTTCTCTACGTCAGTCAATCAATAACTTAAGGTCCCGTTATCCCATTATTATATTCCTTTATCACACACCCGTGCCGATTTTGCGATTCCGTAAATATGGTATTGCACGGCCGTGCATATATTTTGACGTGACGTCATTAGCGTTATACAAACAAAGTGTAAAAACGCGCTAAATGTTAGCGTTAAACTATAGACGCGTCAATGAAAAATGACTTTTACTTCACTTTTAACGGTCTTTATTTTGGGTATGTGATAAATAGAATATTAAATTCGTGTAAGTTCATTACTGAATTTATTGCACTCGTTGAATAAAATAATATTATGCTCGCCAGAGGCTCGCATAATATAATTTTATTCAACTCGTGCAATAAATTCAGTATTGAACTTACACTCATTCAATATCCTCTATATAGCAACGTGTACTAACCGTTTTAAGTGTTTGTACAAAGTGATATTTACGGGTACGGTAATGCATCATTGCATTCCGTCACTTTTTTCACTTTGTGTAGACGCATTACTTTAAAATATAAAAAATTATCTATGATAATATTTTATTGTTTTCAGGTTAGTGATGTTTTATCTTCCTAGTTTTTCATATGGTTAAATTGTAATTGTTTTGTAAAATGTTGTTATTAATAAAATGGTAATTAATCTTTGGAAATAAGTAAAATACAATACCCTAAATATTGTTAGACCTGGACTGTATACATGTATGTCTTTTGTTGTTATTTGTTTACATGTTTTATGTTTAGGACAGTAATGGATCAGAGCATTCCGTCACTGTTTTCACTTTGTGTAGACGCATTTATATATTATATATAATAAATTATCTATAATAATATTATGTTGTTTTCAGTTTTCTCTACCAATTTGGACCCAACGATCTACCAAATCATTTGTACGAAGGACCTGAGCTAGTTAATGACCGGCAAAGCAGCCCTTTGTCATTAAGCAACTCAAAATTTCGAGTTAGTTACTCGAAATTTCGTGTAAATAAAAAACACACTTGTCACTAATGCTCTTTCGTACTATCGATATAATTACGATGTAAAACAGATCAGTAATATTTTGAATTATATAATTGTGGTTTTATAAATGTAGTAGCAAACAAATTTTTTGCTTGAAATATGAATTAAGTGAATCTTTCCCATAACATACGAAACACACAAACACATAAAAAAACAGAAACATCCTTATTGCATTTATTTATAAAGAGGATGACGAATCCGACATCCTGTTTGAAAGATAGATTTAAGAAAGATTAACTATATTTAGGCAGGCTGTCGACAGTTTTATGGAAAATTGCGAATTCATCATTTTGAAACATCGCTACACTTATTTATTTGACAAATACTCTTATGGTTGATCTGAGGAATGAGTAACAAGAATTATCTTTTAAAATGATACCCGGTCGAAGTAAAACTTGCTAACTTGCATAATTATGTAATAACCAATCCACAACATTAAAAGTTTATTTTAGAACTATCCTTTGCATTTTATTTGATGATGGCAACAAGTATCTTTTGCATTTTTTTAGAAGTACCCTTATTATTTTAATTTAGAATAACAAGAACTCTCCTTTACATTTAACGTTAGAATAGCTAATGAAATTCCCAGCTTTCAGTTTGCAATTTTAAAATGACCAATAAAAATTCTTCTTACATTCAGTAGACGGCTTTCAATACGACAAGTTGTAGTGACATCATTCTCACTTGCATATTTTGAATTTTGCAATTTTGGGCGTTCATTAAATTTTCATGTTATCTGTAATATTAGTTTGAAGAAATGTTAAGAGAGGTTATACAAATCGTACAGTTATCAATATGTAAGGAATTGAAGGCATTGTTTCAATTAATCTGTGGTGCCTGTCCCCTAAACATATTGCTGAATAAGATTCTAACACTTTGTAAATATATACAGTATAATGGTTCTTGTTTTATTTTCAAGAATCGGTCGGTGTTCCTTAAAAATTTTGATTTCAAATTGAATGAAAGACAAGACAAGAATGTTTATGATAATTGCACAGGATAAATTGATTTGTTGCAGAAGTCATACTCTTTTTCAGCGTTGAGCCATTGTATTGACAATTAAGTGTACTTAATGATAAATATATAGTTGAATAGGCGTTCGTTTCTTAAACCAGCCCCTTTATGTTATAACGAATCAGATTATGGTAACGAACAAGCTTAACTTACGTTTCCAGTAGGTGGTTACGCTTCAAAATATGAATATCTCATAAGTCATTGATGCGTTACTATTGTTTGAGCGTATAAATAAACGTAAAAGCAGTCAAATACAACAAGTGTTTGTTTGTCATTTGTTAAGGAAAGGTAGATTTACTACAAATTCCAAAAATGGTGTCTTTGTGGACTCTGACGACTTTTCTCGCATTGGGATATACAAGTATCGACTATGTTCAATCGTGTCAATTGGAGACATCAGCTGCCAGGTAAATGGATTTTTTTTTTATTTTGTTTAGATTTGTTTCTAGCCATTTCATGTTTGATAATTAGTTTTAATTTATATATACATATATTGGAAAAACATGAATATTACACATACATGTACACTAAAGCTGGATACACTTATCTTTGTACAATCATATTTAACATTCTGACCCTGCATTTTTCGGACGCAGTCTGTCTGAGAAGAATCTGACTTCCTGTAAAATATACAGGAAAGAACTGAATTTAGATAGGCTTTCCATTGGTCATTCAAAAATTACGATCTGAAATCACTGGATGTTATTGCCATGTTTATAATATTGGTAAAATTTATAAACTAATATAAAGGATCTATCTGAGACGTCTAAATGCCAAAATTATTTAAAGCAGTGTCTGAAAAAGTTTCTAGTTAATTGTTCGGATATGTTTTACCTGTGTATCGTGGTTCCTCTCCTTAAAGATTTTAAATCAGTTAACACTGCTTCAGTAATTATGTACTGAAGAGGGTTTTCATCGAGAGAATTAACTGTGATATGACATTTTATAAGTTTTGTCTGCAATAACGAGATCACTTATAACGATCTCGGAAACCGCATAAAAAAGACTTAATATGCAACATTTAAATCCTCGAGCTCGTAACTTTGTTACTCTCAGTAGGTCTTTAACTATTATTGATGTGTGCCATTCATTTTACTCTCAGGATTCTAATAATTGTATCTTTTCATATTAAGGAAACACATATTGATGTTTACATGAATACGGCAATGTTAGGTACAATAACCAAAACAAGACAATTACTTTTAGAAACTTATCTTACAGTGTTTCCTGTGTCTAATCATTTAACACTATTTCAATTGTGTAAGGTTTTATTACAAAGTCATTTAAAAACGATGGAGGTTACTTGGAATCCTTCGGATTTAAAGAGTCTACTGGTCTTTGAATTGGTGTCCCAGATTCAAGGATTAAGTATAAAGACAAAACCTTTGTAATTTGTAAAATTCATCCATCAATAAGTTTTATATAACCTTACATTTTACATATCATTGATAATAAAATCAAATATTAAGGACACTAATGCGTCAATACTCAACTCATGTGCATACCATTTCTTAATACATAAGACATAGAGTGCTGTGTTAGAATCTGTATAATAAACTTTCACTATCGTTGTTGTTTAAGTGAATGAGGAAAAAATCTAAAAAAAAAATCTTTATTTTTATTTTTTTATAAAAATGTCATAGCTTTTCCTGTCGATGTTGTTTATCTGAAAATAGCCTAAGTGCTATTTTCTTTAAAACATAGACAAATATATAGGATTTAAATAAATTGATTTTCAAATTTTGATATGACCAGACACAGTCACTTATGTTCTGACCTTCAAGCATTAATTTCACCATTTAAACTGTTCCATTTGCGTTTTAAGTGTGATACACACAAAAGTATGTCTAGTTATTTCAAAATCTATTCATGGATGGAAGAACTGATGTTTGGACATAGACATCGATGTACAATTACAAAACGATAATTCTTAGTCCTAGCATGGCTACAAACTTATCACAAATTGTTTTAAAGAACAATATACTATATTTAAACCAATTAATACAAACTCTGTCACTGAAGGACAAAATACATGGACAAACATTTATGTCGAATTATTTTGAAATCCATCCAAGAAAGACAAAATTGTTGACCCGACATAACCATCAATGCTCTTATATGAAAAAAGTCAAATCATGACTTTGGAATAAAAGTATGAGGTAGGACCCTTATTTATGCAAGCGATGTATTGCCATTATGTCCAACACGTGTATTCCTAATTATTTTTTCAATCCATTCATATTAAAATTCATATCATGACTTTTGGTCTTAATTACTACACGCATCATGACATTGATCTTTGTGTTAGGAGCCCGATTCTTGCGCTTGACACGTCGTCATTATGTTCAACACAAATATGCATAAAACATTTTTATCCATCGAGGAATGACAAAATTGTTGACCGGACACTAACACCAGTGTACCTCTTTAAAATTCATATCCTGAAAACTAATCTACAAATGAGACCTTGACCTTTGAGAAAGAGGCGCAATTTCTGCGAGCGACACGTCGTCGTTATGTCCAACACAATTATGAGTAATATTTTTATCCACCCTGGAATGACAGAATCGTGACCAGAAACGAAAATCCTATTTCAAAAATCATCTGACTACTATTTCACTTTGACTTTTGAGCTTCAAACCTAGATCTTACACATGACACAGTGTCCCAATTTGCTAAACATTTATGGTTGGAAACCAGCGACAGTAGGAATTTTAATTGATATATAAGTTCTTAATCGTTTAAATATGTCCAATACAGACTAAACTTCATATATATTTTTTTAATATTTACTTTTACATAACAGTGGCAAATGTATGAATGTATTGAAGACGGAGGATTTAGAGCAAGATGGTTGGAGGATGGTATTTAGAGGGACATCTGGCAATGGTCATAGTGTTTACCATGCTTGGATTGACGGTATGTTATACCTAAAAACAATTTTTACAATAAACATTTTTTTCCGTTAACCTGTCTTTGCAATTTTTATTTTTAAACTTTTCTTTCAATGTTCTCAAAGGATCTTATCTACTTTTTTTTCACAACAGCTGGTTTCAAATGTTGTATGGAAGCTGTAATAAGCTGCTTTGTACTTTACTTCAATATTGATATATTTTTTGGACCTTCGGGTCATTGTTACCCAAAGTATTGTGTAGACTATACTGCCTAAGCCGGTGCAATTGCCATTCTCTATTATTATTAAAGTCAATCAATTTCCCTTCTCTCTTTTGATCGGACACGATCCATGTTTATTCTCTCTTATGATTTTCATTCTCTATTTTGATCGGACGCAATCAGTTTCCCTTCTCTCTTATGATTGGACTCAATCAATTTCTATTCTCCCTTGTGATTGGACTAAATCAATTTCCATTGTCTCTTTTGATTGGACGCAATTAGTTCCATTCTCTCTTATGATTGGACTCAATCAATTTCCATTCTCTCTTTTGGTTTGACTCAATCAATTTCCATTCTCTCTTATAATTGGTTCAATCAATACCCATTCTCTCTTATGTTCAGACTCAATCAGATTGAGTCTACAGCTCTTAAGAGATCTTCATTTTGAAGCAAACAAGTAAACGGGATAAATTCAAACACAATTTCTTGACATGAGAAGATAAAAAGATAAATAATTAGAAAAATACTCCCTCCCCTACAACAAAAAGAATATTCAACACACTGACAGTCTTCAGGTCTACCTAAACATTGCCACATCAAGCTGAATTTCTCTTTCTCTTTCCGCTGATTATCTTGAAAAGTATGTATCACAAAGTCTTCATATTTCAATTAGTGATTGGACATCACTAGTAGATGACCCCTATTGATTTTGGGGTCACTAGATCAAAGGTCAAGGTCACAGCGACCTTAAAATGTCAAAATGGTTTCCGCTGATTATCTTGAAAAGTATTTATCACAAAGTCTTCATATTTCACATAGTGATTGGTCATAACTAGTAGATGACCCCTATTGATTTTGGGGTCACTTCGTCAAAGGTCAAGGTCACAGGGACCTTAAATGTCAAAATGGTTTCCGCTGATTATCTTGAAAAATTATGCATCACAAAGTCTTCAATATTTCACACAGTGATTGGTCATAACTAGTAGATGACACCTATTGATATTGGGGTCACTAGGTCAAAGGTCAAGGTCACAGGGGCTTTAAATGTCAAAATGGTTTCCGCTGATTATCTTGAAAAGTATGTATCACAAAGTCTTCATATTTCACATAGTGATTGGTCATAACTAGTAGATGACTTCTATTGATTTTGGGGTCACTAGGTCAAAGGTTAAGGTCACAGGGGCCTTAAATGTCAAAATGGTTTCCGCTGATTATCTTGAAAAGTATTAATCACAAAGTCTTCATGTTTCACAAAGTGATTGGTCATAACTAGTAGATGACCCCTATTGATTTTGGGGTCACTATGTCAAAGGTCAAGGTCACAGGGGCTTTAAATGTCAAAATGGTTTCCGCTGATTATCTTGAAAAGTATGTATCAAAAAGTCTTCATATTTCACATAGTGATTGGTCATCACTAGTAGATGACCCCTATTGATTTTTTGGTCAAAGGTCAAGGTCACAGGGGCCTTAAATGTCAAAAGGGTTTCCGCTGATTATCTTGAAAAGTATTCATCACAAAGTCTTCATATTTCACCTAGTTATTGGTCATAAGTAGTAGATGACCTCTATTGATTTAGGGGTCATTAGGTCAAAGGTCAATGTCACATGGGCCTTAAATGTCAAAATGGTTTTCGTTGATTTTTCCATAATTGAACACTTCCATGTACCCATTTTTGGCAAGTTTTTGTAATAAAATTACCAATTATGTGAGTCAATGGCTAGAAAGGGGGGTATATGTGTCGTTCGACATTCCTGTTTACCTATCTTTCATTTTTATCATGATTGTCAGTATTATACAGTAAAGTGTTATTTCTGTCTGTGTAAACATATATTTTGTTATTTTCAGGAAAGAATTCAAATCCAGACAAACCAATTTCAATGAAACGTTCTCATGGTTTACATTATCGAGATAACATCTTATACCACTGGTCTCACCTTGGTATCAAGCTGGTTAAGTTTGCATTCTATGATGCTGACAAAGAAGTGGCATACGTGACTTTCAACGGGGTGGACAGCGACATACGCAGCTGGTTTGATAGGAAACGTGTGATCGATTCAAGCTGGGGAGACCTGACGTTTAGTGCCTTCAACTATTTCTCTATTACAGGTCACTATGCAAAGGACCTTGATCGCCGTTTCTTCATCAACAGAAGTTATGGGGGATGTCCAAATGACCGAGGCTACCTTGCAGTTATCAATTCAGCTGTTCCCTCTCCTCCATGTTTGTTTGATGACCACCCATCCTATCCAGCGTTTATATATTCAAAATATAATTCGGTCGACTTCTTCCAGAGGAGAATGTTTGGTATTGCAGATTTCATGGTGGTTTTAATAAAGACATGAATGTTGCGTTTCAATTCCTAAAAATCCGACGGCATCATATATTTGCTTATTCTTTTCTTATAATATACTTATTAACTTTTTTCAATATATCAAATTAACAATGTATCTGATATAAACTGTAAATTGTAGTTTTAAGACTCTTCTCTGGTTTATTTTTCTGACATATCTAAACAAATCTGTGGCATATATACAACCTGATTAGTACTGTGATCATGTGCATGTACATCTTAAAATAAAGTGGAGCAAGCAATTCTTTAACAATGTCCATTTTATCTATCTTATACAGAAATAAAGTTTTAAAATGTACAATACATATAAGTTTACACTTCGCCGATCCTGAAAACGACCATGTCACATGGTCATTTTGAAATATTTTTACTTCATTTACTAGGCTGATATTCCATTTTGCCAAAGCACATTCTGCTTCACTCCCCAAAATGGCCACCAGAGCTATAAAAAAAGTTTTGTCTGGCTTTCACATGTCAAACTCACCGGAGTATATCCAGTAACACAGGAGTGTACAAATAACGCAGGAATTGTGCAAAAGTAACACAGAATTGTGCAATTTAGTGGCTAAAATGAGCACCCAGATATGTAAATGAAACTGTATTTTTTATTATTGTTATTGTACACCAAATTGAAAGAAATGAATTAGTGCATACGATTGATGAGACATTAAAATACTTTAAACCTCATCAAAAATATTTCATAAAAATGTTTATTTTTCAAAATCATTCGTGTAAATGACGACCTGACTATCGTATTGATGGCGATTTTTGGTTCCGTTGATATCTATAAAAACAATTACGTACATATCGTATCGATTTATTCAGGGAATAGACATATAACTTTATGATTTTTTATATTCGGTGTAACTGAGACAATTTCCAATCTACTCGTGTCATATTACAACATATTTAGCAGATAAAACGTAACTGAGACCATTTTTACGAGGTAACGCCGAATTTGTTAATGAAACACTGAAACAAAGGTTTTTTTCTCATTAAAAAAGCTAAATCTATTTCACCAACTCCCTTCTATTGTTATACGACACTTGTAGTTTGATAAATGTCATAGGTATAAAAAAGACAATGTTTTAAATGTGTGAAATGTACATATTTAAATGACGAAATACAAAAGTCACCTTCAAAACTCAGGTTGATTTCTCAAGAATGATTTAAAGAGGTAAACATATCCTCCCCCCACCCACCCCCAACTTAATCTTTTTTATATGAGTATTCTTGTTATTCGTGAATAAGACTAGAGTTCATTAATTAAACAAATGGACACAGCAAGCAAGCATGAATGTTTTAATTTGATTTAACATAAAATGCAATGAATATAATCATAATTAATAGAAAATATTTGCCATTTTCCAACATATGCATGTAATGCATTCAATTAAATCTGTTGTCTGAAAACGACGGGAAAATTTCCTAAAATTGAATTAACAATTTAAGATTTGTAAGCATTGGATTTAAATCACCAAACAGAACATATTATATTGTATTATAATATTTGGACTCGTACACAACTTGAAAAGTCATATTGGACGAGCCGTACAGTAAAATGTATAATAACCTTTTAATTCTATAATTATCTTTCGTTTAATTTGAAATATCATCATCATCATCAACAAAACAATCACCAATATCAAAACCCACACCACCACCATTATCATCAACAAAACCACTACCACTATTATTAACATCATTAATATAACCACCAAAACCATCACCACTATCACCATTATCAACAATAGCCCTGTGACCCCTGTTAGTTTTTTTTAAAGCAAAAGGTAATAATTCATGAATGATTATGTTGTATACATACTTAAGTTTCAGGATTTGACTGCAGATACAACGAATACTCTTTAGAATTGCGTTATTTATTTATTTATTATTTTCTGCTAGTTCAAGAAAAATGACAGCTACATGTAACATAATAAATTTTGTCTAAACAAATTATATATTTAACAACTTACATTTATCATTAATATTTGTTCAATAAATATCATATTAATTATATAACAGTAAATCCGAAAAATATCACATTGACACATTTTATCTCCATTTATCACACTGACAATAGTATAACACTGTAGAACCTTCCTTGATGTGAGTAAATGACTTACCTATCTAGATGTCTGTGTACCATGACTGGATGCACTAATATGCCTGTCTAATGAACGGATTAGTTTCACCTAGTCAATTATTGCCTGCAGCACCAATGGCTGCTTCTAGAGGTATCACCCAGAATCCCAATGGGCCCTTTGTCGTCAGGGGTTACAGCCAATCAGGGTTATCAAACATATACTCACGTACTCAACCTATCTCGTACCAAGGTCCGTGAGCACCACAACACTAACATTTCGCGCGTCTTAACGCAGTCGTAGCCTCTTGTTTGATAGTCGTTATGAAACTTATTTTGCTTGTTTCATTTGTTTGTTTTAACTATTTAACACTGTTAATTTAGACAATATAGCCCCGAATACAAGTACTGATCTACATCTATCTACATCTACATCTACATGTTACTCCCGAACAATCAATTCTGACTATGACTGGGAGGCGCTTGTCAGGAAAACTGTGTTAAAAGTATTAGGTGCATACTAAAAGATGAAGATCACAGATAAAAAAGGTAAAGGATAAAAGAAAGAGTGCAAGATTAAAAACATACTGGGGAGGGGACTAGAAGGTGACTGTCGCCAACCTATCCTTGAAGGCATCTAGGCTGGGATTGGATTTGATCTGATATGGAAGGCTATTCCAATACCTGAGAGTTCTTGGGAAGTACGAATTTAGATGATATTGGGTACGGGACTGGGAGATCAGGAAGTTCAGATTTCTAGTTGGGGTCAGATGGTTATGGTCAACATATACAAGTTTGTATTGGATTTTATAGAACACTACAAGAGAGGACTGGAGTCTGCGGCTTTCTAGGGAAGGCCACCCAAGTTCATTTAGCATTTGGGTTACACTACTGTCGAAATTATAATTATTACAGACATATCTGGCCGCAGCTCGTTGGACACTTTCAATCTTATGACTAAAATGTTTCTGCCAGGGGTGCCATATGGTGGAACAGTATTCTAATTGCGGTCGGACATAAGTAACATAGGCTAATGTTTTAATTTGCCTGTTTTGGGTTTTGACGTTTCTCTGGATGAATCTTAGAGATTTTTTGGCCTTGGAGGTGATGTTATTTATATGCTGTGTCCAGTTTAGGTCTTAAGAGATAGTTACTCCAAGGTACTTTGCAGATTCTGCTGATTTGAGAGTTTTATTATGAAGGGTGTATGGCAAGATGGTGGGGTTCTTTTTACGGGTGATCCTCAGCACCTCACACTTGTCTGGGTTGAAGTCTATAGCCCAGTCCCGTTCCCAAACTTCAAGTTTATGTAGGTCGTCCTGTAGTCTGTCAAATAGACTATAGTGTCAACCGCAAATAACCTGGTTTTACTTTTGACAGTTTCTGATTGAGAATCAAATATTTTTAGTGGTGTAAATCCGGTATTTCGACCGATATCAATAAATCAATAGCGTGCGCTACCCATAAGTTTAATTTTCACAACGTGAAAATATTCTGTGTAACCGTCGTAGGTTGTTAGGCAACAAGGTAAACAAGTAAGAGAGAAGCTGTGAAAAATCAAAGCAAACAATAAATAAACATTGAAGAGATAAACAAGAGGTAAAGCATCTAATTTTATTTTCATGTATTTTTTTAAAGACAGGATAATAAATGTTAAACTCATAGTTTTTAGGCTACTGGTCAGGGACCATCAACCGGACACTTTTTGAACATTTTTCTATACAAATTTCATAATTTTAAAGCTAAAGGTACAAAAATTTGACACAGTACAGCTAGGTTCTTCTCCTAACTAACAAACTAGTTTGTTTAGTTCTGATTATGTTGACACTTATATCCGAGGCCCGTCAAGGAGGGTATCAAAATTACCTAAATTGTACATACTACAGTACCATGTGTCCGGACAGATATGTAATAATGTTGATTTAATTCAGATAAAAGCTACGGTGTTCTTTTTTTTTATTTTTAACATGACACACAATATTTCAGCAGCAAATGCTGAAGTTTTGGATATTCTATTGTTTACTCTGCAAATTATTATAGCTAGTGAAAGAGGTCAGGTATTGCACTCTTGACATCCAAATTTTCAACGTCAACATTCTTGAAATAGACATTAAAATATTACCGTTTACACAAGTTGAAATAAATTTAATTACTTAATTATAGAAGAAACATGCATTTATTGTTGATAAAAAAAGTGACTGACAACCACTGAACAAAGAAAATTCTAAATCAAGCATTTTCGGGGCCGTCCGGGTTTGGTGGTTGTCCGGTTTTGGTGGTCCCCAACCAGTACAGTAGAATTAACGATAAACAATAAATTGGAATTCTTTCCCAAATGACGCGCCTTTTCAGGCATAACAATTCCGATGTATGATAAGTGTGTATGAATATAAACATTATTTCTAAGTCAAAGTCCCTGCTTTTCACTAAGTTTTAATGGTAGGGTGGTAAGGTTAAATTTTACGGTTCTATTCAATTTCAAGGGACATCACTTGAGTTCATCCAAAAGTTTAATTATGATGCAGAAGCTTATAACTTCTTGCCTTGGTCACATTTACATTGTGTGTAATATGCATGTAATGTTGTGACTCAAATGTCTTCATCAGGTTCATGTATATACATGTATGAACATGTATGTAATATGCACATAATTTTGCATTGACTGCCGGGTATCTATGTGTCAAAGAAACCACTATTGTGTGGGTTTGTAATTATGTTTACCTGGGATGAATAGTATTATTACATAATACCGTTATTAGGGTTTTTAAATACAAGCAAAATTAAATATCGACCTGGTAAAACTTCTATTCCAGCTAATATTGTAAATCATCAAATATCCCCGCCACTTTGGCGACTCAGTAAAATCTTTATTGCGCGAACATGCATATATGTTGATGTGACCTATTCACGTTATAGTATCAAACATTATAAACATAAAGATGCAGGGAATGTCAGCACTACACTATAAGCATGTCAATGAAAAGACTGATTCTTTTTACAGCAAGCAGTTCATATTTTTGATAGTCAATATTATATTGGTGTAGCTATTGAATTCATTACTTAAATTCATTGAACATGATGAATAAAATTATATTTTGCTTACCAGGGGCAAGCGTAATATAATTTATTCAACA